TTCTCTACAAAAAAGAAGCTTCAGAAACTCTTTTATAAGAGAAATTCAGCAATTTCTTTTATTTTATTTCTTTCTCAATTACCTGTCTCCAGGAGAAGGCACTCTTAATTCAAAACATTATAGGCTTGTGATGAAATCATGATTTGATAACAATCACAGGAGCTAAACTGAGACGCAGATGTTATGAAATTACAAGACTCACATAAATTTTATGACTGGATTTTCAAAAGAAAAATCTGCTTCATGCTTTCTGTGTACTCGGGAATTCTGTCATACATGTAAATCACTGCCTTCAAGTAGAATAGACTTGGTCCCTAAGCATGCAGATATATGCTTCTCTTTCTGCACACCCTACAAGCGTCTGGACACTGATACCCAAAGTAATTCAAGTGATAATCCATTTGAATAGCTTGCTTCTTGGAGACTAAAGACAAGGAGAGTGTGAAATCAGACAGCTCATTAACTCAGCTGTTGAGTGCTCATTCTCTCAGGCACCCTCCTAGCCTCATTGTTTCCCTAGTGGAGAAAATTACAGGAATTCAGTTTCTTCCATTTCCTTTTCTTTCTTTTTCCTTCATCAAGGAAAACTGGCAGCCTAGAGCTGTAGCAAACCTTCCTTGCGATACCATAAAATCAAATGCATTGATATATCCAAAAGACACTTTCAGAAGTAACTTTATGATTAACAAATACCAAAAATTTCCCCTAGTTTCATTCAATGACCTCATAGTTTATTTTAATGAGCCTGGAGTTCCCAGAAAGGAAAATACATCGTCTAGCAGAGTTTGGTGTTTGGAAAGTCATTCACTTGTGCATACAGGTGTTAGTGCTCGCAAAGTGTGAGGCTCAAGTGTTTGTCTGCAGAAGCTGAAAAACTGATCAATTTTGACCAGTGCAGGGATTAATTCCTCTGCCTAACTTTCCACTTCCTCCTTTGAAGCAGGGGTCTCTTCTGTATGTCCTTTCCACCGTGTTCTGTTGTTCAGACAAGATTATTTACATTTGTTTGTATCCCCGCATCTCCCACGTGGCTGGGGCCACACATACTTGCTGTGCTTTGTGAGACTCTGCCGAGGACCTTCAGAGTTAAGCAATGATGGGGACTCCGAGTTGCTATGGTATCACACCAAGTAAGGCAGTTTGGCTCGCACTCAGAGGATTTCAGCAGGACTTTGATAGGAAGCTGCTCTGTTTTTTGGCACATAGGCCACGGGGACATATGGCTAAGACTCTGTGTAAACATATTGGATAGCTGCAGCTGATTGGTGTTATCCTGATGGAAGAAAGGTTGATACACAGAAATAGAGGGAAGGTTGTACCTGTTGCAAAATGAGCACTTTTCTGCATTAATCTGTGTAAAGTAGAACCAAACTTGTGTGTCTTCATCTTCTTCTGCCTCTCCCCCTTCCCAGTTACATGCATTTCCACTGCTCAAGTCCTTGTGCTCCTGGGGGATTTTCTAGCTCTCTTGCATAGGTGCAATAACGGGAGCATTTCGTTCCTCCTTTTCCTTTGCACTTCCTCTCAGAGGCTCGGCATTGCCCTGCAATTTCCTATCCTCACCAATCAGCATCTGATATTCCTGCCCATATTCGTCTTTGTGGGAGGTTCTTCCTTCTCTTTTTCTCTCCCCAGCTGCTCACATTCAGTCTGGGAAGTCCTGCCCTCTTTCCTGCTCTCTTTGCCCTACAACAGTTTTTATTTTCTTGACACCTCTACTAATACACTCCAGTTTTGATGGAAAGATTCATCTTGAGAGGGACATTGCTGATGGACTGTTCTGGCTCTAGTGGATTGGAAAAAATCTAGCTAACATAGCACTCCTATGTGTACATGCACACATATTTGGGCACCAAACTTTAGGAAGGTTTGGTTATTTTTGATCCTGATTCTATCTTCTCATGAAAAGTCTGTTTAGAAAAAATAATATTTGGAGGTGCCTTAAAAATTAGCTTCTTAGATGGAGAGTATAACTGGACATAAGTCATGTCTTACAATTAAATTGCCATTTTATTTTAAAAACTTTCAAAGTAAAATTTAAAATACACTTTTAAGCTCATGTTCACTTCTCCCTCTCTACTTCTGTCTCATACAGACAAAGTCCTGCAATCTGTTATTCAAGCTCAATATTCGGTTCAGTGAAAGAAAGATAATAGTGACGTCGAAGTACTTTTCTTTAGCTTTGAGATAACACAGGATTTTTTTTCCATGATCTTTCTAATTTTCAAGTAAAATCCAGATATTCCTCCAAAAATGAAGAGATGTTCTCAGAAATTGGAGTGCTTATTTGTGAGCTCATATAAAATCTTTTTTTCTCTTTCCTTTTCCCAGTTGGCCTCTTTCCTACAAGCAGAAAGTAGTTCTTCAAGGGAAACAAGCAATCCCGCCCCACACACCTTTTTAGTCTGAAAACAACACTTAATATGTGAGGATTTCTTCCTTCTCTGTTGAATTCACTACTCCTGTCACAGCAAATTCTGCAAACCAGAATGGTGAATAAGAACTAGTGATTGAGGACCTTTGATTTATGGCCAAGTGAAAAAAAAAAAGCCTTTTTTACTAGACCCACTCTGTAGCACTTTTGTTACAGAGGATAATTCAGTATTCAGAGTTCATGACACTGGGTTCTCCTCACTCATGAAATCCTGACATTGCTACGAAGAGAGGAAGATACCTCTTAGAAGGTGAATGCAGAAGAGCATGAGAAACCGGCTGAGACTGTGTGGGATTAGACTTGGCAATGGATAGGTTGTTTTGTTTTTCTAGTTGGCTCAAGCTGCGATGCATGAAGAGTTGCCTTTTGGATCTGGTACTGGGAGAAGAGGAGGTGAGCTGGCTGGTAGGTGGGGGAGTGGGAAGACTGGTGGTGGTGAGGGTCAGGTGCTGTTGAATGGGAAGTTGCCCTTCCCTTCCCTTGTTTGCCTCTGCTGGAAATGACTGCAGTGTTTCATAGAAAGTGAGTAAGCTATGCAGCCTTATTTTGGGGGGAGTCCTGTGTAGTAACAGGGATATGGTAGCTGAGACTTTCCTGGCCTGCTGCAATTGCTGTGAAAAGCCTCTCCTTTGCCAAATCTTCTTCTGAACTGGTTAATGAGTGTTGTACAGCTGAGTTCTGTCATGGCAAGCAACCAAAGTGTGCATCCATGTTACCATGTTAGCAGTTTAGTTCAGGTCAGGACTGCTTTCCTTGTTCACCAATGAGCTTTTATCTGTGAGACCAAACTAGAGCTGGTTTGAAACAAACCCACTCAAAATGCATATGTGGATTTTGCATCCATGCATGAGCTGTTTCACCCTACAGATCCACTTAAATTGTGCCACATTATTTGCAAACGTTGATATAGCCTCAGCGGCCAAGTGTGTACCTCATTGACTCAACAGTTGCCTGCCAGACTGAAGACAAATATTGCTTGCAACAGTATAATTGTTTTGAGCAATGGCACCAATTGTGGTGACACTTTATAATTATGCCTACATCTTATTTTTGCCCTTTGCTAGACAAAGCCCCAGAGTGTTGTGCCCCATCTAATGCTGGTGCTGTGTTGTAAACCTGTCTCTGAGGCCCCCTGTCCCTCAGATACATCAGGAACTAGCCAGAGCAGCGTGTTGTCCTGAGGATGACAACCCAAAGAGGAAGCCTGTTCACTACAAATCCGCTCAGGGAAGCCCAAGTTCAAGATGCAGTAAGTGGTGCTGTTAGAGCCTGCATTGAGACCCTGCCACACTGACCGGGCAGCGCTCCCTGAAGCTCTCTGGAAACGTGCAGAGTCTGAAACATAGCTCAGTAGTCACTGGGTCATGCTGCATTAAGGGCGATTTGTTCCTCATAACAGGGTAACCTGAGAGTGTCATTCTATGTACTTCAAAAGAATCCCACTGTTCTGCTGTAGAGCAGATGGCTCCTGTAAAACTTGCATCATTAATTACTTTAAAGCTATCTCTCTAGAGCCTGGCACAACAGAATGAATCTATATATTATGGAGATATGTCAGCCATGGCAAACTGACCCAATGGAAATAACACTGCATGCTTTCACCTGTAGTCCTCCCTGGAGGGAATACGGAGAGAGGTTGCCTAACCTCATGCAGCTGGTAAGACCACGGTTAGAGTGTGGGAGGCATTTTTTAACAAGACATTAGATAGACTGTTTTCCTGGAGTGTTGTTTCACCAAAACCTGTTACTTTCAATATCCAAAACTTAACTTCCTTTTCATACAGCTGCGGAGGGGAGGCCCTGTCCTGCTTTCCTGAGTTATTTTTGTGGAGTGTCCTCCCTCTGTGTAATTTGGTTAGTCGCATGATGAAAGCTAATTTAACAGTCAGTCTGTTACAGGTGAGTGGGGAGAGATAAGTGGCTGAGGGCAGGCTCAGGACACTTGAAACACTGGCACTCAGATGAAGGGAACGACTTTTCCGTGTTTGATTAGGCCATGCCAGTCTCCAATGGCCACTTCTACGAGGAGTCTTCACTATCTGTGGTGGGGTGGTGAGATGTGTTGTCATGACTTCCACATGCCAAAGGCAAGCTTACTATCATCGTCAGCTATCTTTTTCTTTCATTTAGGGGTCAGTGATGACTTACTTTCTCCTCCCCGCCCAAAAGGAAGGCAAGGCCCTATTCACCCTGTTGATTTCTTCCTGACAGTCGCCGATGAGGCCTCCCTATCTACAGAAACACCCCTCTTCTCCTCAAATGCTCCCACTGGACTCAGTCCATTGCAGCTGTGCTAAGAGCTTGTAGCACTATCCCTTTAACATAAACCTAGGGCTTTGAAGAAAATTAACTTGTTTGCATAGATAGCACAAATGGGAATGTTTTGAAAGGGCAGCTTGATTATCGGGTTTGGGTAATACAGCCTCAGATTTGAGACTTGGGATTGGTCAGAGATTGAGAACAAAAACAGTTCCTCGCAGATGTACCGGGGTGTGCTGCCAGCGCCTGAACAGGAGGCTCCTGCAGACACTTCCTTTGCTCATGAGTCTGTCTTTGCACCCAGTTTGTGGGAAATAGGGTTGTGTGCCTACTTGAAGGATCTGCGTGTGTGTGTCTGTTTGTGCGCTTAAAGAGAAGGCAAAGGAGAGTGAGAATGGGAGTGGGGAGGGAGAATCTAGATATCTGTTTTTTCCAAGTCCCATCCAAATACTTTCTCAGAAGTCTAAACAAGGAAAAGAGGCAATAAACATGCATTAAATACCACTTGGCTGGAAATGTTTCTGCTTTGTGCCTTATGGGTAACTAGGAGTATATTGGGGATATGGCACAGTTCCATCTGTATTCTGTAGTGTAAAACAAACATTTTCTCATGGAAGGAAAAGTTGCTTGTCTTTCACTTGCAAACTTTTGTTCGTTTGTTTGTTTGATCCCTGTCCTTTGGTACAATCACTTTCAGGCAAGAAAAATAGTTTTTCTTAAGTACCTCATTCAAAGGCTGGTTTGTAGAGACAACTCTGTAGTATTCAGAGAAGCAGTGAAGATCAGTCTCACCAGCAATCACTCAGATCTTACCTTTTTTTAGGTGGTGAAATATTTACCCAAGGTCAAGCTTCCTCCAGTACAAATGGAACTAAAATCATAAACTTTATTCTGTCTGAAAAGGCAGGATTCCTTGAGATGTTGCAGCATACAAATAATTAGAAGGACTGTGTAGAATCAGGGGATGTCCTGAAGACTTTTCCCTGCTCCAGACATGAGTATTTGCAAATTATCCAGAAACAAATTCTGCTCCCTATATTGAATAGCATCTTGGTTAGCAGATAGCCTCTGCAGGAGTAAGGTGTTGGGACAGATTCAACAAAGCCTGTGTACACGTACTTAACTTTAAACATATTCACAGATTAATGAAGCTGAGAAGGCATCCCTGGTCATCTGATCAAATCTATTGCCAAAATTTTCTCTATGAGTCTTGTAACATGTTCACAGGCTTCTCATGTCCATTCAGCAAAACACAAAAGAAGATGCTGTCTTCAGAAGTGTATGTACGCATATGCTTAACTTCAGGGATGCATTTATTAAGCGAAGCACCTATAGTTAGGTGTATTCTGAAATGCCAGTAGGTAATTCTAGGCAACTGTCAGAGGTGATTGGTCTTCGTGAGTCTGCTTCTGGGAGAGATGGGGTGCCCCAGAGAGCAGTTTTTAGAGTACCTGTTTCTCTCCATTGACTCTGGAAGGGGGCAGATGTCATAAACTAGGCATCGTGATTAGATGCCTAATGTGGATCTGTGTCATTGCCCTGTTTCTGTTGAATAATTTTTTCATATCTGTAAGATGCAAAGTCTTACGGGTTTAATCCTAGAAGTCCATATATTACCTAGTGTTAGTTTAGGAAGCAAGCTTACCTAAACCAGCTCTGCCAGTCGTTCCCTCCTGCCCTCCAGTCCCCTCAACTCTCCTATCCCTATGCTCCCCACATCCATTTCTGCCATTTCCCCCCTCAGTGCTAATGGCAAAGAAAATAATGAGTTGGAGACTCTTTCTTCTCTCTGCTTTATATTCCCACTTCATTTTCTCTCTAAAGCTTTTCTTGGTTTGTTGTCTTTTCTAAAGAAACCTCTCTTGGGTTTGTCTCTGTTGTGCAGCTGCACAACAGTCAGGAATGGTGATTTGTGAAATGCCGTAAACATCATTTGTCAGAGGTCATTTTTTGGTGTTTCTGCCAGACTAGAGTTTCTGGGACATGGCTGAGAAACTGGAGGGAATTCAGAGGAGAGCTGTACGTATGATCAGCGCTTGCTTAGGAATTTTGGGATATAAAACTTCCAAAGGAGAACTAGAAGGATGGAGACGTGGTAAACCTGAAAGCAAAAGCATGGGTGAAGGTGCGTGGGTGAGGGAAAGGCATAGCTGCTACCTACTAATAAGTTAAAAGAGATTTTACAAAGGATGCAGTGTGCTTGTTCTCTTTATTCAGTGAAGGTAGGGCAAGGAATAAAAAGCCTCAATTACAGCAGAGGAAACGTAGCTTAAACTTTAGGAAAAACTTGGCAGCTTTGTAGTTATTGGTGGTACAAGCCATTGAATCTCCCTGGATGTGATTTGCAAGGTGAGACAAAATACCCTGTGAGGCAGAGCTGAAGAAGGAATATTACAGTCCATCCTACATGGATGGGGAATGGACTAGTGAGTCCAGCAGAGTGCTGTGTCAGCTGACATGAGGATGATGTATTGCTCACCAACAGATTGGTTTGTCAGAAGATCAGCGGGGAAACAGAGGTGGCCAAACAGGAACTAATGGTACAGATTGTGACTCGTATTTGTGGTCCCACTTGATTACTGAGTGAATCTCTTTAGAACTGGGGATGGCTCCAAATAGCGCTGAGCTGGGCATGGAAGAGAGAGAGAAAAGAGAGGCAGCTATGAGAAGTAAGACTGCCAAGAAAAAAGATGTGGGATTGTCAAAGGCCCGACAGGCTACATCCGTGCCGTCACATTAATTTGAGGTTTGAGTTTGCACTCAAGACACTCCAGGCTGTCTGCCTGCTGGCGCACACTTTCACTTCAGTCTGGGATGAGCCTGCTGGGTTCTTGGACAGCAGCGTCTGGGCACGGTGAGGGACGTGCTGGCTAACAGCAAGGCTCTCTCCATGAAGCACTGTAAATGCAACCAGCTCAGCCCTAGGTGCAGAAAACTGCAGAACACAACCAGGCACAGCTAGCTGAGATTTATGGAAATAGCCCAAGTAATTAGGAGCACAAGTTCACCTTTGCAAAGGGGTATGTGTTCCCTAATCACTTTGGTGTATTCCCCCCTCCCCAAAAAATAGAAGAAAGAAAGAAAGAAAGAAGGAGATTTATGCAGAAAAGGCAGATAGATGTAAGGATGTCAGACTGGAAAGGTGAGCTAGGGAAGAAATAACTAAAATAACTCCAAAAGCTAGGAAAGAGAGTGAAACAGAGTTAAACACATTAAAGAGGGGTTGGAAAAGAAATACATTTGGAGAAAAGATAGGGTTGGCAATAGGAAAAAATGTAGGCAAGAAAGAGGACAAAGTGGAAAGATTTTTTTAAGAGGTGAAGGAAATGAGATTCAGATAATATACTGTGGACGTAGTCATGCTAAGCATAAAGAGCATGGTGATGAATATGGCCCCATGGTTAGATAGCAGAAGAAAATGTTCTGTATAGACTTATACAGTATCCTGTTTGTGAGAAGTGAACTTGAGCAATTGCTGCCAGGGATTTTTAGAAAGAGAATAATAATTTTATTTTGAACAATAGAAAAGTCTAGTTCAAAATTACTATGCAGTAAGTAGAAATTGCATTCATGTATGAAAAATGAAGAAGTCATCCAGGATTACCACAGTGTCTTCTTTCACCCTGTTTTGCAGCCCTTCCCCTTTCTTTTCAGTTCTTATTCCAAAATTAAGTACAGGGTCAATCTTTTTTTCCTTAGCAATTGCATCAGCCATAGGAATGTATCACGTGGTAAATGAAAGACTATGAATAATTCAGAACAAAATTTTGAATCATTTAAAAAGCAGAAGCTTCATATTTCGTTGCTAACCTGTTCCCATATAACATGAAATCTACAAAAATCACATTGCAATTTCTGGAACAAAACCATTTCAAGTATTTGAAAATATTCTTGCATTCATTTCATTCTGTCCAAAGAATATTTCAAACTCAGAGTTTTCCAAAACTGTGTTTCACATTTCATGAAAGAATCAGAAGATAATTAAATAATGGGTATGTGCTGCCTAAACATGAAACACTATACATATTTCCAGAAATTATTGTAGCCATAAAATGTGATCACCTTTACCTCTAAGGCTGATGGAAAATGTAATGTTTAGTTAACCAAAACTGACTGTATTAGGGAATTAACATGATCATCTGCTATCATTATCATGCATATATATGCCACCATCATCGCTCGTTAGTGTGGATTTTTGGCTCCTGTAGTACCAGCATGACAAGAAAACAGCCTTTGACTGGGCCTAAGCCAAAAAGCTTAGCAACAAAAACACAAAGATAAAAGCCAGTGCAATACAGAGAAGAATTTTTTTTCTAGTGGTAAGAGCAGGAGCACAGAGTGAGGAATTTTACAATTTGTTCCTCAGTTTAGTCACTGATTCAATGCGTGGCCTTTCAAGAGGGACTTCGTCCTCTCCTCACTGAAGGTTCATGCCTCATTTTCCTCATCTGTGAAACAGCAATAGCAAGACCGAACCACTTTGCAGCTGAGGTTGTGAGTGACCAAACGACACAGCATTTCTAAAGCACATTGAGACCCTCCAGCAAGAAATTGCTACAGAGAAGGCAAATGTGATGCTGATTACCTCGCACATATGCATCGTGATTAATGAGTCTCAGGCAGTCGTTCAGGGCAGTGAAGCCACTGGTTATGACAGCATTTATATGCGTTTGCATTGCTCTGACCACAGTATTAGCACCCGCATTCCACAGGGGGTATCAGGGCTGTGCCCTCCGGGGATGGTTGGGGGTATCCTACCATTCAGTTCCTGCCCTGTTGATCTCTTCCCACCAGCACTCTGTCGGCTCACCGAGGCTCTGGGCCGCCGGCATGCAGGCGTAGTTCCACAGTCTGTCGGAGCCTTCCTTCTTGTTGAAAACACTCCTGATAGCCACGATCACCTGCCCGTGTGGGCATTGGAAGTTGAAACCCTGGCGGTACACATTGACCCATTCATCATTATCTCCGTAGTTATAGGGACCATAGTAATAGTCACCGTACTGGCCCCATGCCACGGTCACCAGAGGCAGGAACACACAGAGAAGGACAAGGTCCATCCTGAGGATGTTCCTGGCTTAGAAATGCCCCACTGGTTTGTTGGGCTGGCCCTTTTATATCGCCTCTAACATTTGGCTTCCAGATGTTATGCTTCCAGATCCAAGTGCAATGTGTCATTGCTTAGCAAACCTTCTCTGAGTTACAGACACATCCAATTACTTTTAAGGTGGAATTCTGCAAGTACAGTAAGTCTGCAGACCGTAAGAGCAAGGTCTTCCCACCACCACAAACCACCTGTGATCCCTTGCTGCAGAGCTACTGTATGGAGCAAGATACACATTGTAGTACAACTGTCACAGACATCCCACTTTTATCCTCAAGACAGCAGTTAAGTTTGAAAACTACTTTATTTGAAATTAAAGCTCTATTTGAAGTTGCCATTTTTCATCGTTAGTAACATGCAACAAAATGCAATCATGTGTGTGTCCCCACCCTCTTTTCCCTAAATAAGTGTGACATGATTCTGCCAGTCCCTAGAAAGAAGGAAATTGGGCAAGGTGGGGGAATTCACTGCTGCTGTTGTAAAAAATCCTTTAGACATTTCGGTTTGGTTTGGTTAGAGGGGAGGTGGAGCCCAAATGACTGAGACTCTGGCTTGGCATGGAAACAGCCCACCCTGAGAAGTAGGGTATTGGCTTCTTCCATGCAGAACTGATTTTGCTACAACTGTGTGTGAGCACTGTAAAACTGTGGACTTGGCAGATGTTTTAATGTGAGGATAAAGCACATAAGCAAGTTATGATGAGATAAGCTTCATGTGTAACCATAGCCTACTGAAATCTTTGAGCAAGGCCCTTTAAGCTACCTTGCATTTATCATGGGCTAGAAACATGGGGCTACTGCTGAGGAACTGCTGTGCTGCAAATTCAAAACCTGGCTTGCCACTTGGAAATGTGTTTATATGCCACATCCTCAGATAATTTCTTTATAAGGAACCCACCCTATTCAGGAGAGCGTGGAGCAGTGTGCTTTACTTAACTGTGTTCTTGACCTGTAGAAAACGATGGGATTTGAGCATGTTTTAATAAGTAAGACAGTCCAAAGTCAATCTAACATAGTCTATATATGCATATGTCACCTATGCTGTATTGCTAGTGAAATGCATGACCCTTGGAACAGCTCCAGATTCAGATCCTGCCTCTTCCAGTGAAATCACCGCAAAGGATCTAGAGACTGTTTCTTGCTGCAAGTTTCTCCTCCACTCTTTTCACTAACCCTCTTCCCCATTTGGGCCATGCACAAAAGAAAAAAAAAAAGTATGAGTTTTTATTCTGTTGCTGATACTATCAGAAAGAAGATCTGTGATGGGTAACGGTGGACTTGCTCTTCTCTAGGGATCTCCAAACCCTGGTCATTGCTTTGCAGGAGCATAAGCGTCCTGCGTTTGCAGGAGGCGAGTGCCTTTACTAACCAGTCCCAGATCTCAAAAGCTGCCTTCAGCCTCATCAGCCAGGTACTTTTGTGCCTTTAGCTAATGGCTTTTTTTGTAGCAGAGCCTTGTTTGACAAAACTGTAAGTGGGGGTTGAGCTCTTTGCCAGGAGCACAGTGCAGCAATATCTCAGTTGTCCATGCTCACAGCCAGTGCAGATCTACATGAACCTGGCAGCTGAGAGTTGCTGATCTAGCTCAGTGCTTCACCTCCAGCTGTAGCAGCCCCAGATGCCTGGGGAAGAGGGCTATGGAGACAACACAGAACAGCCCTTTCCTTGGAGCTGCCCTCCCCTGGGTCTTAGGTAACAGTAGGGGACACAGGTAGCCAAAGTCTAAAGAGAGAGGAAATTTAAGATTAAAAAACCCATAGTTATCTGATGGGCACCAGAGTGCAGACTTGAACTGCACGATCTCGCATGAGTTTTTCAGCTAACTCAATAGTGTATGTTTTTTCCCTCTTACTTCCTTAGACATGTAGTCAACATCTGGGAGCACTGCACACTGCTCTATTTGCCTGAGAGGCATTCTGGAAGACGTTTTAGCAGGAAGTACCACATTATCATATATATATGATCCTCACCTCACATAACCCTTTCTAAGTACCATTCCTTGGAAGGAAGTCCTCACATAACCCACACAAAATCAGGGGCAAGAGGGGATGAGAAGGAGGAGGAGGGCTCCATGGAGAGTAGGACAGTGTCTTCCTTTGGCTCCCTTTGACACGTGTGTGAAGCTTCGAGGTGTCTGTTGTCACTTCATACATACAGTCTACCCTGCCTGATCCCAGTTAGTGGATAGGGTGGCACTTCCGTGCTGCACTGTGATCAAGAAGTGGTTTGCCTGGGGGAAAAAGCTGTGCAGGGAAGATAGTGAACATGAGAGATGTAGAACTACAGCTCGCTGTAGCAGTTGTGGCAGTGCAGACATGTCCTGACCAGGGACTGCCTGAAAATCTACAGTTCTGTGTTTCTGGATCCAGTGCTTTCTGGGAACTTTTAATATTAAATTTCATGCTTCATTCTGATACTGAATGAAAACAGAAGAGAGCAGAATTTCTTACAGGAGGGACATGATGGTTTTTAGTCATCTTGGAGAAGGGTGGTATTTGTGAGTGGGAGGAACTGTGATTTGAAAATTCCTGTAGAGGTTAAGAAAAGAAAATAGTGTACATACATGAATTTTGTTTCTGAGTAATGCTCATTCAGCTCTGCAGTTCACAGCTGTTTGGTTCATGGAGCAAAGCTGAGGCTACATGCGACTTGTTTCGCTAACATTTCACACCATTGCTCCAACCCAGATAATTCCACTGATGTTGCCAGTGCTGAGAGTTGCAATTTTAGCTGTGTTTCCATTGACTCACTGGCATGTTAACCACTATGCCTTATTCTGTTCTGGCCAGTCAATCAAACATAGCAGTTCAAAAGCCAGTGGCTAGAAGAGCTGCAAACTAGTCTGCACCTTGGTGACTTTGGTTGGCTCCAGCTAGAGTTTGCACTAGGAGAAAACTCAATCATATTTAAAAATCAGTCCCCCTCTGAAATTACCTACCCTTTAATTTGAGTTTAAAAACACCAGCTGCATGCCTTGCACATCCAATCTTTGGAAAAGCAGAAAGTGTCAATGAGGTGCTAGGGCCAACCTTTCATTATCAGTTCCTTGCCGTGGAACCTATTACATTGGCTGGTAATTTTATTCCCTATCAGTTCTTAGAAATGCTTCATTTAATCCACACAAATAAGTATTTCATTTCTGTCTTGCCCAATGATGGTGGACGAAAGTGATTATTCTTGATACCCCGCCTCCCTGGCCTAACTTTGAAGTTAGTTCTGCTTTGAGCACAGTTTGGACTAGAGGCCTTAGGAGAGATGTCCTTTCCAACCTGAATTATTCTGTGTTTCTCTCCTGCTGCAGATACTAGTTGCAGCATTACTTAGCGCTGTAGGCATTATTAGTGCTTTGGAGCCATTAGGAGAAATGCTGCAATATGCCATGTTACAGCCATGAAATGCAGAGAGATTGCAGTGCTTTGAACTAAAATCATAGGTGCAGTAGTACTATTCAAATGACTAACAGTAGCCAGCTTAATGGGTTTTATTTTAGCACCCAAGCTCTATACTAAAGTAGGGGAAAGAACAGAAAAGCTTTATTTATTATTTGGCAAACACAGAGACATTAAAGCTGCAGTGGCAATAGCAAGGGTTCAGACTTGGTCAGTGACAGGTACAACTAGACCTGTGTCTACAAAACTGGGTTGCATGGAAGTAGTGTCATCTGGTTTTATTGGAGTAGCTGTGCTGCTGAAGTTCCTGTGTCTGCAAAGGTCTGACTCTTGGGGACCAGTTTTTTGCCCCACTCTGAGGGCAGAAGGAACATGTAAGGGTGTTATCTCACAGCACTTCAGATGCACAAGAGTGATTCCATCCCATATTACTCAGGACTATAGCCAGAAGTGAAGCTTTGCATTTTGTGCTAGTGAAGGAGGCTGAGTGTGTATGCCCTGAGCCCTGAAGTCCTCTGTACACAAAACAGGTTATGGCAGAAGCAGTGACAGTAGCAGCAGCAATATGTCCGCTTCCAAGCTAATGCGACCACATCATAGCATTTCACAGTGAGAAGAAAGTGTTTATCATGTCAGCTCATTGCATCAGTGAGGTCACACATTTTGAACACATTTTCCATATTTTATTACACACTGTCTCAGAGTGATGCTGGCAGTTCTGATAAAAGAGAGTGGCTTGGATGAGTCAGGGAGGCTGCATGATCTGGGAGCTGTAATTTGAATTCAATTACTGATTACTTTTCTGTGCCATCTTTGCAGCATGACTTTTTTTTTGTTTTATAAGCTTCCTGCATTTTCAGTTTTTATAAATGTGTGAGGATTTGGGGTTCCTTTATTACGTTTTTGAAATGAGGTTACAGAAGCCTTGGTAATGTGGAGAAGGATGAAGCTGCTAGAAAGCTGTGCTTCACAAGGGACAAAGATATATCCTTGTCAACTTTTTAGCTCAAAGTTATTACCTTCTTTCAGAGTAATGTATATGGTGAAGGCTGGAGTTCATTTGTCAAGGCTTCCTACTGTTAATGATATTTCTTCTAACACCTTTCACTTGGTGTTCTCAAAGTACTTTGATTAAGTTCAATCACCTTGAAAAGTAGGAAAGGTTAAAAAAACCTTATTTTGGACGGTAGGTCCAGTGGTCTGCCCCATGTCCACCAGTACCTCAGGGCTAGAAACAGATTTTAAACTCCAGCATCTAGACTGTCAGCATCAGACTCCAGCCCTGGGAAAGCACACCTTTTCCCAACCCCTTCTTCCTGCCACTTCCCTACAGAGGTGCTGGTTCAGCTTCTACTTTGCGTAGCTCTTTCTTTGTAAAAGGGAAGATACTACTTAAGATCCTGTGATACTAGAAGATATTGCAGAGCTGTTTCCTCTTTGGAAGTAGCTGTAGGAAATTCTGATGCGATACCACCTGGAATATTGCCGTGGAGAAAAAAAGCGCTAGCGGCAGTGCTATTTTTCCAAGGTTATCATAAGCCTTTGGACTACTTTTGTAATAGCTTCTTACCTGCATGTGTAGTAGGTAATCTA